CTCTCTCTCTCTCTCTCTCTCTCTCGCGGGCACTACTCGACCGATACGCCGATGCGAACCGACAAAAACTTGAATGGACACTCGGCGGCGCGCATTAATGCGTTGCCAATCGTTGTTGATAAATTTTCAATGAGAGCGGCATATACGTCCGACTCGACCCGACTCGACGCGCGGCGACACGGTCAAGCGGCGGCCGCCGCGGAATGCACGCAACGCGCGTACCCGTGAGTGCCTGCAAACGCCTCTCTCGGAGCGAATGGACCCGTGGGATACAAGCGAGTCCGTAAGGAAGTGACGTTAGAGGATATGGCGGGACCGACGCGAGTGTCTACTTTGGAAGATTGCCTCGCGTATTCTAGACGAGCGCGCAGTCGGCGCGCTCGTTTTACTCGCAACCGGTTCCGACTGACGGTCGCTAAATACTCCTCCATCCGTGCGCGCGCGATTCGACAAAACAACGACCGCCGCGTCGCGTCGCGTCGCGTCGCGCCGCGCCGCGCCGCGTCGCGCCGGCGGCGAGACGGCGACGAGTATGCTTCTCCGTCGGCGAGAATTCTGTTCTGGCACCTTCGTGCGAGAGATTCGCGCGAGAGGTCCGCTCGTAACGAGGCCTTCGGCACCGTGAATGAGCGCGACGTACGAAGCGGACGCTTGCTGACAGAAAGGAGGAACGCACGATACGTCGGATTCGAACGCGCACACGCGTGCGGGGAGAAAAAGGTCGGCTCGCGTGTAACTGAATTTCTGTCCCCCGGCGACCGGCGGACGAGAGCTCGGTGACGAGGAACGATTTACTACGGGGCGAAAACGCTCATCTGAACACTCGGCCGTGTTAAAATTCTGTCGGGATGACCGAAAACAATTGACTCGGGATGCTCTTCTACAGGAAACTCCCGCCGACCTCGCCGAGCCTTCCGCCTGGTCTCCGGGGAGAGGGGATTCAGCTGCACGAGTCGATGTTTTCTTTTCCGTGTGTGTAACCGATTCTCAATGGAGTCATGATTGCGTGTTCAATTTGCAATCATATTCGCGAGACAAATTTCGGAGGTTCGTTTTCGTTAAATCGCTCTCGATAGGGAGGTCGACGGTGTCGCGGCGAAGGCGAAGTTGCGAAGAGGTGAAATTCAGGCAGAAATGAATTATAACGCGAAAAACAATCAAGTGTTATTACTATAATTATAGATATAATCATGGGCGAGTTAGAGTTCGATAAGTGAGCGTCTAAATATAAAGTCACTAGTGAAATATTTCTGCACCGTTCATGAATAATTCATGATTCAATCGCTGCGCTACGGTACGTTCGCTGTAATCATATATTGCAATATATATTTAATATCGCATTTAGCGCTCGTTTTAAGCTTTTTAAGTCGCTCAGATGATAATTTTCTCAAACTTTACTTTAGATTCCCCTCTCGAGAACCTCGTTCATCCTCGGCTTTTCTTTTCGCCGTGCCTCGCGTGGCGTCGAGTAATCTCCACGTGGATGCTAATATCTATAACGAGCGCTATAACGACTCGAAATATAACAACAATTACTCAATCCATCCAGCTCAGAAGTTTCTCGCTGAAAAACATCCGGCTCGTTTCTAAGTTGAGTCCGCGGTCATTTTTGTCGAACTTAATGCTCCATGAAAATTTCGAGCGCCTCATTAATTCTCCACTCGCTCGAGTGATTTTTCATTCAACGCGATACTCGGGCGAAAACCGACAACTGCTGTCAAACAACGTGGAATGGATGCGAGATATAATCAATCAATTCACGCACGGTCCGAAAGCCTCATTCATCAGAGAACATTCGGCCGATCCTCAAGTAAACTCCCCGTGATGATTTTCTCTCAAACTTCACGTACCGTCGAAATCTCGACCAGCTGCCCCGATGCGTCTCGACGTGCTTCGACCTAATCCTCGCGCGAGTATCTTCAAGCGAGCAGACTTCATCTTCAAATTTAGATCTTTACGCATGTAATACTCGGACGATACCCGACGATCGCTGTAACGACACGGAATAATCGATCGATTCACGCGGCGCGCAGGGGAATCTTATTAGAGAGCGTTTCGCTAATAGCGTAATTTAACGCGCGGCCAGAACAACATCCTCTCCGGTATGCCAGCACGTGGTGCTCGTGAACGAGTGATTGAGACGTACTCCAGTATGACTCGCGCGGCGCGTACAAGGGGCCTCCTTGTTACCGAGTCTCGTCTTCGGCCTCACGAATCGCGCGCCTCGTAATCTTCCTCGACGCGGGCAAAAAGCCAGTCACCGTTCGCAAGCTATCTAGTCCGAAAATGAAATGGCAAGCGCAACATTTTCTCGTCATTGCGCGCCCCGAAGGTTGCCTTTCAGCACATATTAATCCCGCGGATGCTCGCCGAACGCTTGGACCCAGATAGACACTTTCGTGATCGTCACGCGACGCGAGACTCAACCGACCATGGAAACTGTGCAATTTTTTAATCACGCTTGTCCAGCGAATATACTGCATCTAAATTCGACGAATTAAATTCACATGGCAAATTTACATCGTACAGCGATGTGAAATTTTTATCGCGTCGATACTGCGCGCTCGATTGACTATCTGCTTTCAAATTTGCACACGGAGAGAGGAATGTTTGGCTGAACGAATCAATTTTTCGGTGAAATATCAACGACTCAGAAATTCCGGCTGAAAGTTGCAGAATTTTCTTTGAATCAACGTGAAATTATTTAGACCGGATTTTGATAATTTGAAGCGGAATTTCTATATCGTTCGTATTTCACTGGAAAATTGTTTCGTTCAACCAAACAGCCACTTTTCTGGCGCACGTTACGTTTTAATATGAAATATTCTGACACGTCTCGAATGAATTCTGACAGCAACTCCCGTCGTTCTTCGCGATAAGTACGAATGCCACGCGACGCATTCATCAGGTTGCTGCGTCGAATTTACGCACATCTGTCTATCCAGGGAAGACTAACGGCAGAATCTGCAAACGCAATTGCGACAACTTGTCGTCACTATTTTGCATCGTGTTGCATTAACGAAACAACGACGCAAGAGAAAGAGAGAGAGAGAGAGAGAGAGAGAGAGAGAGAGAGAGAGAGAGAGAGAGAGAGAGAGAGAGAGAGAGAGAAGAGGGGGGGAGAGAGGGAGAGGGGGAGAGAGAGAGAGAGAGAGAGAGAGAGGTGACAGAGCAGCTTTGGAGAACACTTTTGCATGGTACAATTCGGTTGCTCGCGCACAATGTGCATAATGTTCGCGCGGATGCGGGTACTTTTCATCGATCACGCGGCCACGATTCCACGTGGCTTGGATTACAAACGTACGCCCACGCGTGTATCTCGCGTGGCGCGCGCGCTTTGCTGTCAGGCTCAACAAAAGGCTGAGAGCACGTTGTCTCAAGTTGACGCGCACGTAGGCAGCGATGCCAGACGGCGAAAGAAAAAGAAAAAAAGCAAAACAACGGAGATCGTGTATCGCGTTCACGTTCGCTCGAGACGACGTAAATTTCGCGGCGCTGGGCGGAAATAACACCGTCTCGCCAGGAGAGGGGAGAGGTTCCTCTCGCCGATCTAACGCACCCGATTCGATAGCTCGTCGGAATCGTTTCGTCGCAAACCGATCGAGAGAGCGATGCGTAATGACGCCCTTTCTCGCCGGACGTGCGATTCAATCTTGCCGTACCTCGCAACGACTCGGGAAAATTCTGCCGGATCGCGCGGGATATACGCAAATCGAGCGAAGAGTGATCGAGGATGATTGAGGAAAAGTATACAGTGTATATTTTCTCGGCGAGAGTTCCCTTGTCGTTGATTATTCCTACCCCCGGCTGCAACTGGCGCGCAATTCGATGAAAAATCGCCCCGCGCCCGACATCGCGGGAGCGCGTCCTCTCGCCCTTTGCCGTTTCCCCTCGCGAATGTACGCCTTTTCTTCCTCCCTGCGCGTCTTCTTCCATAATTCATACGTGCCTTCTAATGAAGATTTAATTTTTCCGTCTGGTTACCGCGCATCGTTTCTCCCCCTCGCGCCTTCGCCTCTCGTGTTTCGGATGACTTCGCTCTTTCTCCCTCCCGCGAGAGTTACTCCTGCCATTCGCGCAGGATCTGCCTTTCGCGCCGCGTGATCGTGCTCATCCACAAGGTTAACGCACACCCCATTATCCCGAATCACTTTGCTAATAACTCACCTCCCGCCGAAACGCTCGTGCAGCATCTGCGGGCCCGGGTTATTTGCTTAGGTGCCTCCCGAGGATAATCCAGGTATATTTACGGTAATCGATAAGCGATAAGCCAGCGTGCGATAACCGGCGAAATGGAGAACGTTGAGACATTCTGTCGGTGCTCGACGGGGGCTCCTCGTAATTTGAAAGGAAAAGAAATCTCCCGATCGATCAAGCGTCTCGCTCCATCATCGCGAGATCCGTTCTCACGTCTCAAGGAAGCGCAGCCTGAAGCGGCAGCGGAATTTCGGCGCGGGCGAATAAAGCTGTCGGACTTTTGCGAGTCGCGCACCTGACTGACGATCGTTTTTCTCGATCTCTACGGACGAGTGCGATCGAGCGAAATTCCACGAGCGAATACGTCGAGACACACGTGTGACAGGGTGGTCTTACGAGAGAGAGAGAGAGAGAGAAAGAGTGACGTCACGCACGTGTGACAGAGATAATTTTTCTTCGCATGTCAATATGTGAGTCGACAGAGTGCAAAAGTTTTGATGTCTTTCTCAAAAATGTGATTCATAGTTTTACGGCATGACAAATTTATACAAATATGCGGATGCATAAAAAAATATGAAAGATGATAGAAAACAATGGCGGTGGATCAGTCGGTAAAGTGCGAGAACAAGTGGTTTTCAATAAAATTACTCGGTCCATTCTTCTATCGCTTGGAAACTTTTGCACTCACTTAGATGCCAGACGAAAACGATCAGAGACAACAAGAGACAACATGATAACGATAAATCTCAAATGAGCCGCGGTAGTGTCAACGAATCTCCCCATCTCGACTGCGATTTACTCACGTAGGCTGGACGGTTTTCTCCGCGGAATCGTTCCATATTCCACATTCCGGTGCGTCAACGCCCGCGCGACGTTCCAGACGACGCGAGAGGACCGGAGGCGAGAGGGAAACAAAAAGAAGCACGCGATCGTGGACGTTCGCGCGACGTCAACGTGGACGACGGAGCGGAGAGAAGACGAGGTTCGCGAGAAGCTCCGAGGAAACTGATCGAGCACTCGATCCTGGTATCCCATTGCGACCCACCTGGGCAACCTGAGAAGGGACCGGCGAGCCCGCCTTTAGGGTTAACGAGCCCCTGCAAGCGCGCCAGTGGAACCTGCGCCTTTTGTAACCCGAAGTGACGCCGATCCCATTGACGACGGGACTCCCTCCGCTTCCGATCGGTGATCTATGGATCCCTACTCGACCTCTGCTCCTCGTGCGGCTCGTAATCGTATATTTCATTGGCGGCGAGAGCCGGAAGAGAGAGGGAAAGTGGCTCTTTCCGTGTGTTTGCCCGCGGGCTCGATTGTCGTCCCGGCGCGCATTGTGCGAACGCGCGCGGCCTAGTCGCGAGGAGGAGACTGCGAGCGAGGGGAGAGACGGGGAGAGACTTTAGAAGTTAACGTGTCTTCTCCGAAGGAGAGAGAGAGAGAGAGAGAGAGACACACAGAGAGAGATTATGTGGCGCGCTGCGAACCTGCTCGCCGCGACCGCTCGACGGCGTTAACCAGCGCGCTTCGGCCTAGGCCGCTTCCTCGCACGCCCTCGTACAAGGTGGATCGACATCGAATGGATTTATGGGGCGGTGTTGCTTCGCGGTGAAAAGGGGTGAAAAGTGATTCGACGTTCGATGATTGATCGATCGAGAAGACGAACGAACGACGGGCACGCGCGGTGTAGCGTTACGTTGTGAGAAGATAGCGTCTAGCTGACCCTCGCGAGCGAAGTCTACGAGAGAGATCCGAGAGTTACCCCGCTGTTCATCGACACAGCATTTCAGAGCTAAATGCACAATTCACCCTGTGCGAGTTGTTCGCGCAAAAATCACCCGAATCCCTACATTTTAGTCCCGAACGAACAAACTCTGCACGCACGTTGCGGTCTCAGTCTGAGGAAGGGGGGGGGGGAGGGGAGCTCTCCGATAAAGATATTCCATCGGTAGTGAAGGAACGGAGGGTTGGCCGGGCCGACGATGGCGACGGCGACGGCGACGACGACGGTGGCGGCGGCGGTGGCGGCGGCGGCGGCGGCGGCGGCGACGCGGTGGTGGTAACGTCGAGTGGACCACCCGGCCCAAACCGGCTGACTAACGAACCGTGACGTGTCGTGTCGGCGATACCGCTCGACAAGCGGAAATAGAATTTTCCACGCGTATCCCAACGCGCCGCATTGTCCGCGAGTGTGCAGCGCCGCTGCGCGCTTCAGGTAGCTCGCGCGAGCAACCCACTTCCCGACATTGTCCCTCTCGCCGTGCAACCCCGGGCCCGTCACGCGCATAATACCGCGAGTTTAGCATTTATATCTCGCGGCCCAGGTAACACCGGCCGTGTGTTCTCGCATAATTAGCGGCAGTTCTTATGCACCGCCGTGACAACGGCAGGAGGAGGAGAGGAATGACAAAAAAAAATAAACGGTCGGAACGCACCCCGTGCCGTCACCGGGGAAACGGGGGAACGGGACCGGCGAGAGGCGCACAATAATTTTTTCCTACTGTTTCTCATCGCCGCCTTTTTCAAGCGACGAGGCTCCCGAGATTCCCACACGTCGTAACCCCTTCGCCGATGCGGCGATTTGCATGCCGCGGCGAGGATATCGACGCGTTGCACACGGCGACCGACGACAACGACAACGCGAGGTCGGTTTTCTCACACTGAGAGGAAGAAACGGTAGAATCGACGAGGCTTTGCTCGAACGGGCAAACTTCATACGAGCTGACGTTCGGTCGACAGAACAAATTGTACAGTTGGGGTGAAACGTCCAGTCGCGCATGGATTTCATCGCAATATCAAGGTGCATGGCGATTTAATTACTTTTCAATCATTCGCTAATTATTATTTATTCATTTCAGGCACCTCACCTCAGCAGTCTCGGGTGTGGAATTTGGACGTTTCACCCTGTCGCAAATCGGTTACTTCACCGCGATCAGCCATTGGTTGACTCAATAATCGCGATTCGGTGCAGCAGCCACCATCTTAATGCAACGCGTAATTCGTCCGAGCTTTGTCGATCCGACCGCTTTATCCTCAGTGCTCCTCTCGCAAGGAGGATCTCGCAACGGACACGCGAGACGCGACATATTTCCAGACTCGAGCTGTAAAAGCCGCCGTGAAGACCGCCTCTCGTCCGACGCATTTCGCGATGCACGGCGCGTGATTATCTCTCATCCGATGATGGTGGCACGCAAAAATACGTTGGATCGCGAATAATTAGCGGACACGCTCATCAACGCAAGCGTAATGGCGACTCATCGGGCCCGGTTATCGCCGCGATGTGTAATATACTCCTACCGCGATCGAAGCTCTCTCTCTCTCTCCCACTTCCTCGCATTCAGCGACGATCGCGCGAGTAGGTAATAAATATAAAAATATCTCTCTCTCCTCATCTGGTTTCATTTTTTCTCTCCTTTCCTCATAAGAACGTTATTACACTAACGAAGAGGAAGGCCGGGAATTATAGTGGAAATTGCCCCTTATAAGTGCACGGCTCTACCTTTCAGCATTTCAGCCGGGGAGGAAGAAAGAGCGAGAAATGTGCATACGCGCGCACCGCCGTAGAACGCGCTCCGAATGATTTTATTTCGTCGTTTCGGTCGTCGCGGGTACGAGCTAAGGGTACGAGTAAGGTAATGTCGAGGTAATGAATGCGTGTAATGAAGTCACGACATCTGCACGTCGTACCCGTCCGGTCATCTTCTCATCAAATGATTTTTCCAAGGCGCAGCCGGTGAATCGGCAATAGCGACGCTGGCGCTGGTGGTGGTGGTGGTGGTGGTGGTGGTGGTGGATGAGCACGCGAGGACGCGACGCACGACGGCAAGAATCTCAGTATATATAATTACGAAATATAAACACGGTTATTTGCTCGGCGAAATACACAGCTATCGATGCACGGCGACTGGTCGATTAAAAGGACTGTTCCGTGTCGCGCTGCGACGCGAATGTCGCGCCCGCCGTATCTTCCCGTATCTTTCCCCTTCCTCCACCTTCTTCTCCCCTTTTCTCCGCATGCAACGCGAAATCAAGCTCAATTATGAAATATGTAAGATTATACGAACGTTATCGAACCGCCGTTTTGAAACTGCGAGCAAAGCGAGCAAAGTCTCTTCCACGTTGGTCTTGTTGCCGTTCAAGCAATCTTTGCAATATGTTATTGCGACGTCGCGATATTGATGACGTCATCCGAATGTCGATACATAATAAATGCGAAATAACGCAGAATAATGCCGAAATGTATGTTTCTTGTTCCAATTATCAATTTCAATGTTCTTCAACAATTATTGTCGTCCTGAACCTACTACTTTCAACTTTATTCCATTTTGATTCAGCGATTATTCTGTCTTATTATAATCTACTTGGTACTTTCTCGTCGTACGACAAAAATTGCAAGTCAATGTGTTTTTAAGACTGCAATATAATTACAGTTCGCGAAAACATTTCCAACGAATCACGCTCGATTGAACATCCGCGCGAATGTTATTTTATTTTCACAGGACGTTTTCCGCAAAACAACAAAAAGGGAGAGAAAGAGAGAGAGAGAGAGAGAGAGAGAGAGAGAGAGAAAGGAGGAGAGAAGCTGAGAGTGATTCACGAGGGTCCCGATATTCCGCGAAAGGGAAACATCGCGCATCCGCGGGAGCGCCGGGCCGTAGTAAAAATTCAAAGTTGGCTTCCCGACCAAACGGATTACGAAAAATCTGGGGTGAAGCGGCGTTCTTAAGGACCACTCGAGAGGAGTCCTTGCCGGTGGCATACCTTCCTTTCACATGCTAACTCTTCTCAATAGTCCGCTGCGCGGAGGTACGAAAGGACCACTTTTCAGATTTAAATCAAGACCGCGCGCGCGCGTTATACGTATCCCGCCGCGATCTACCCGATTTGCATCACAGTGCCCGGCGAGACGCACATGCGTGTGTGTGTAGACGTGTACACTCTCAAGCGTAAATATACAAGCGACACGCCCGTTGTCGCGAGAGCGGACCAACTTGGCCGCAAACTCGAGAGAAGTTATCGGGCGAGACACACACCGTTGAACGGAGCGCGAAAAGACCGCGTGTGAACGAAGTAATCCGTGCGCGACGAGCCGGCCGACCGCCGATCGACCGACCGCGAGTATCCGCGATATTTATCAGATTTACTTTATTAACGACTGCTTTTTCTCCGCCTCTTTTTTCATATGACAAAGTAATACGCCGCGAAAATACGCTACAGACACATTTTGTCTCTCGCCTGGTCCATTTCACTTTAAGTCACTTTAGGCGACCTACATGTATAATTATATAATTTTACATAACTGTGTAATTATACAGTTGTATAAAATGCATACAGCGCACACCCCGTTTGTACGTTAAATTAACATTACAATAAATAAAATAAAACGATATGAATCATACCAGAATAAATCTGTACGTAATTTCTGCTGGCGACAAGTTCGCGCAAAAGTGAAAAAAAGTTCGAGCGGCTCTTCGTGCACGTGTTATTATCCTTAACGCTCTCTCCATTTCCGGCTTGAGCGCTTTTTAATCGTTCCTATCGTTTCCAAATATCCACACGTCGCGCGAGTGTCGATGGAATACGCGATGTTTTCATCTGTCATTTGACGTTATGAAGCGCGATTGTGTCTGGACGCGAAGCGCTAAACCGGAAGCGCGGGGTGAGGGCGTCGATGACGTTTAGAGTGTATGTACGTACATATGTTGAATTATTGTCAGGCGGCGTGCGGAATGACGGGCAAAATGCGCTTCTTCCGCAGCTCCTAATTTCGTCGCGCGAGAGAGCGCACAGAGCCGCGTCGGAAGCTCGCGAGGCAGCTCGAGGCAGCTCAAGGCAGACGCGGCCGCAATTACACGACATAATGTGGCGAGTATAATCGCGCTCGTGTAAAGTCGATACGACATCAATGTAGAGCCCAACTCACAATTTGCCAGCGATTATGTCGTTGAGGTCGTAATACTTTCCTCCTGACGAGCGATTTAATTACACAAGCCGAGTAGCAACATAATCATTTTTACTCGCGTGCGACAAACGTATTAAGTTCCACGCTCGCGCGGGTAACGAGCGTCGCCGCACCTGCCGGCCGGCAATAATTCGTCCTTGCATTCGGACGGACGGACGGCCGGCCGTTGATATCGAATTAAAGAAATTCATTAACTAACTACCGAGCGCGAGCGTGCGACAAAGAAAACTACCGTTACCCGCGCGTCGCGTCGTAAAAAAGCTATACAAAATTACGGCTCGCGCGGGCCGCTCCATAAATAACGCTCATTTTCGGTCATGATTACCGAGCAGCGCTCGGTAGCGAGCAAAGTTTCGCCGGCTCCTCTCTCTCTCTCTCTCTCTCTCTCTCTCTCTCTCTCTCTCTCGCGGACACGCGAAAACAGCTCTCTTAATACTTCCGAATGATATTGCACAACTGCTTATCTCGTTCATCATCCGCGCGCGCGCGGTCAGCTGCGAGATGTGAGCGAACGAGGTGTCTAATATAATTACGATTCGCGGCGCCTTTTTCCCCC